TTTCGTGCAGACACTCATCAGTTACCTACACAATGCTCTTGCGTGAGACAATAAGAAAACTTGCAGCGTGGGTAAATACGTTAATAAACGCAGTAGGTTACCTACATTTTCTCACTTCGTTATACATTCTCATTATAGCATTTGTTTAGCCCTTAACTACGGATATATATTCATAAAACTGGCCGTCCAAACGTAAAAAGTAGGTACAGTAAATCCTCGATGAGTGTTCGAAGGCTCATCAGCAATGAACATTAAATAGTTTACAAACTAATGGCCATATACGGCTGAAACAAATTACCATTGGCTTCAGAATTATAAGCTCCTGCACTGTGCTAAACCTCAATAAAAAGTCAACGTTAAACCTAGGGACTTTTATCAATGTCAAGAAGCCTTCAAACACTCATCAAGAATTTATTGTAGTTCTCTCCATTTAAGACCTCACTCTAAGAATACATATTACTTCATCTAACATAAACAAATTAAACGATTAAGACAAACAAATAATAACTATAGCCTCAAACAATATTTAAACAGCATCAATGGAGTCATCAATAAACGATCCAGCATCACAGCATATCTTAAAATCGACGACAATCGTGTTTCGCAAAATTTTCATTTCGTCGTCCATTGACAACAGCCCTGCTTAATGGGTTAAAACGAAATTTCTGTAGCTGTTCAGCGGATCTCCAGAATCCTTCAACAGCAATCTCAATCGCGACGGACAGTCCCCGGCGTAATCATCGAATTGTCCGCGCGATCATTCCAAGGGGATCGACGGTGTAGTACATCAATTACGGCAGGCAAAAGGATCTGACCGAGGGCACCGGGAACCACAGCGTCATAATTCCTAATTTATTACAATGCGCTCGTTAATCGTGAGACGATATGCGGCCCCGTGTACTTATCCACCCACCCACGTGACGGCACGGTGGTAACGAACAAAGGGCCACGCACGTTTATAGGCGCCGTCCACGTTTCATATCTCTTAATCCCTCGCGACGTATACGTGATCGGCGTCTCGATCACGGGATTACGAGAAGAACGCGTGACGGACATTTTTTTTCCGTGCCTCCATCGGAAAGGGTTTTCGATCTGGAATCTTTTCAAACCACACGTAGACAGAGAAAAAGAAAGAGACAGAAATTCTGAGGAGATTATGTCGATTTTGCATAAGGACGATTGGATCTGTTTATTAACACTAGATTAACGGACATTTCTTATGTAAAACTACAGATGTTCTTTAAAAAAAATTTATTTTATTTAATACTCAATTTACGATATCGTCGAATTGATGCGTATCCGTAGAGATAGGTATACCATATAGAGAATTTCGCGTCCCGTAAACCTAGTGTTACCCTATGAGAGATGAGTAAACTCATTATCTAGATAAAAAGTTTCGAATAACGAATGAAAGATAAAAAAAATATTTCGTCACTTTTAATTATTTAAACGTGAAAATTTCAATTTTCATAATAAAATAATACTTCTGTATGAATGAATCGACATTTGTCGAACAATTATTTAATCTCATTAACTGTTTAAAGTTTAGGACGACGCCCTTATATACTGTTGCTTTTCACTGTGTTTTATTCGAATCAAATTCTGCCCAACTCTGTAACCTATGCAGTTCTTCCCATAGGTATGTTTCACTACTGGAATATCTCGATCGTTCACCATGGCAGAAGAAATTTCTCACGAACACGAAAGAAAGTGGAAGCTGGCAGAAGGTATCTTACGGAAAAATTCTACCGACGATTGTTCCCGCGAAGAGAAACATGGGAAGAGAAATCGACGTTCGGCCGGTTCGCACGATCGATTTCCTCGATGTCGCGATCCCGCGCGCGGATTATCGAAGCGACCCGCTGCGACATTTAATTAACGTTCCTAATCCATCGGCGAGGGGAGGATTACGGTCCTTGATCTAGAAACCTGTTCTAATAGACGGTCATTAAAACGCCTGCTTCCGAACACGGAGAGATATAATACTAGCACACATGCACTTACAGGTGAGCTCTTTTAACCCTTTCGATACTATGAACGACTATAGTCGCTCGCCACGAAGTAATTGCTCTGTACATTGAACCGTTCTTAAACTGTTAAAATAGATTTAATATGAAATTTGATTGTGTTTGTATTTTTAGTGAACGTTTCGTTTTATTATGAAAAGACTATTTAAAATTTGTTCGGCTTCAGTTATATTTTAGTGCAACTCTTTGAAACGAAATTCGAGGGAAAAAAGTAGACTTTTCCCTATTCTAAAGGGGAAAAATTTGAATTTGATTCCCCTTTTCCCATCCTAGAGGAGAAAATAATATTATGAAAATTACCATAAGATAAATTTTGCACCCCTCCTCCGACTGATATCCTGACTACGCTCATGACACTAGTGATTCGCGAATTTTGTAATCTTGAACAAGTATGTAAACTGCCAATTCTCTAGTCGCAGACAATCTGAAAATCGAATTCCGTGACTTTTGTTTATTTCTGCGAGACATGATATTATCACGTTTTGATAATGTAACAGAAAAGTAAACAGTTATCTACGTATGAAGGGTTACAAAGTAACTTCCGAGTCCAACAAGGATCTTCTATTTATAAATGCTAATTGAATTCGGTTTTGCATTCAACACATCTGTCCCCATGCTATTTTGTTCTCGCGGAATTTTTCTTAATAACAGTATGGTGAATTATTTCTGAGTACATTCGATAACTTATATGTTCTCTTATCTTTTCTGTTAATAATAAACTGCAGAAAATTCACTGTAGTAGCAATTTTAATCAAGTTTAACGAGGTCTTTGTTTTATATGGAACCCTGTAAAACCATCAATGACATAACATCCACAATCTATATTGTTGTTTATTATACAGATTCTTCTGCAGCATAAGCATTTCATTAACCACGTTACGTGCATGACAACCACAGCATTAGTCACCGCTGACAGTCGTGACGAAAAACATAAATAATATACATTTACTGCAGTTTTTTTTTTCAGTTCACAAAGCGCGTGCGTAACGTCAGAAATCACCGAGATCTATTATTTATTGTGCCTGCATAAAATTACAAAATCACCGTGCACACGAAACAAAGCAGAATCAGAAGATGAGTCCGTAGAAGGCCAAATCGCTGCTGAACGCAACCGCAATCGTGTTCGCGGGCGATTGTTTCTCATGGGAAACGAAGCTGCAACGAGATCGGTGTCGTTGAACAATTCGTATTAGCTTGATTATGAGATTCGTTCATAATCATTATTATGTAATGCTAGGGACTCGATTGCGTTGCGTAACCGGTCCCACGTACGAAACTGTGCGACCTGAATGCATCGAAAGTCCAGGCTTCTGTACGGGACATCTTGAAAAAAAAGGAGAAGAATTGCCAGCAAACAAACCGGTCGGTTTTTCGGAACAAATTGTTGCGCGCGGGAAGTGCGTGTGGGCTGACGTAACGATTTAGATCGTTAGGCCTCGGTACTCCGCTGGCTGCGGATTAATTTCTTCCCGGGGTCGGTACAGAAGCGTTTCGTCGAGGTTAACGAGGTCTAGCAGTGCACGCGACAAAATTACTGGAGCCTCGACGAAGATGATTTCCTGCTGGGATCTAGATAACGCGAAGAATTTCGCGACGAACCGGTTGCAGATTGAAACTTTGATGTTGGGATGAAAAATCGTATGATAAATAATGTTTTGCGTCGATAATAATGTACCAAATTAATGGAGTCTCGAAGAAGATGATTTCCTGCTGGGATTAAGATAAGACGAAAAATTTTGCGACGAACGTCAAAAAAAAAACAATAAAGTGTCTTGACAATTGTTAACAAGTTGTTTAATAGTTTGAAGTGGGAATTTGCCAATCTTCCATGTATTTTCTCTCGTTGAAAGGGAGAATAGATTACGAAGAGTTAAGTAACTATAGGATGAATGTAATTGAATGAAATATTAATTAGTATTTTAATGACTTTCAATATAGACTTGCTTTCTGTTGATCTACTGAAATCATTCGCTGAGGTTATCAGCTTCTGCTTTATTTCTTTTATCGTTAACAATTCTGCGAATATATATATTTGCATAAACATTTGTAGTCTAAGTACCAACCACTTCTCCGATATCGCCTATTTATCATTCAATAATATACAATAAAATATAGAAATGTTAAAAGCATACTAAAAATGCCGAGGAAGGAATAATGTCTTTCAGTCTTCGAATAACAGTAAATGTATTCAAACATAAAAGAAAGTATCTCACTATATAGCAGCGTGCAAAAACTTTACCATTGCAAAATGTTCTATTTAATTTATGAAACGTAAAGGGAAACAAGCAAGAACAAGTTGAAGCATTATCGAAGCGTATTTCCACGAGCAGCCTAAACTACGAATATAAATTAATAAGTTTCACCATTTTCCAGGAGCAATACGACGTTAAACAATAGCGAATCTATCCGCGTAGGTATTTTCCCGACGCAATTGCGTAATTTCACCCATGTTTATTGCACAGAGGACGCGTTTCACACAGGCATCGGTGGATGCTAATTCGCCTCCGTGTCGTGACATCGATTTCATACAGCGACCGGAAATATTCTTCAGTTTTAACGTAACGCACTTGTGTCAATCAAACCGCGTAACAGATGAAGAATAAAAAAAACGTACGTGCATACATAACGACGATCTTCCTAATAATCGTCGGACAGCTGATGATTATTCATCGACCGGCATGTTTTCGATTAATTTACGCCTGCCACGCGGAATTCTGAAAAACGATCCGTCAGCGCCTCGCGCGTCAACTTTGCTGATACACTCGTGAACGAAACACCGCGATATTTACAAGAATCCGATCGGTCCGATGGAAATAGTTCATAAAGCACCACAGCTCGGCCAGTTCATTGATCGATTCAAAGAGATGCAAGACTATTCATCGAAGTGCGGAAAAAATTCAAAGAGCCGCCGAAGCAGAGCGAGAACAGCCGGAAGATACGATTTTTTTAAAAGACTTTCTGTTTGTCACTTACAAGTGGGATGCTGGTGAGAACAACGGTCCAGGGTACGGTCGACGGGAGCTGTCGAGAGCTCTTCAACACTGAACGGGCCACGAAATTTCATGGAAATCGCGAAGTCAAAGGTCGGGGTACCGCGTTCGCAACAGGTCTCGTGCTCCCGGATCGACTGCCGCGGGAGGAACGCGGTTGCAGAGACCCCGCGCTCGTACATCCGTTCTCCATCGGTCACCGTTGCGAACGAACCTCGCCATCTGACGGGATTCGTGGGAATTCAACGGCGCGATGAAATTCGCGGCGTGACAGATTCTACCCTTGCGAACAAACTGGACTTCTACCAGAAACAAGATATAAGAATAAACCTAACATGCAATGTAATTTTCTGCACCATGCTTCGAGGGTGTCAGAAGCCCCCTTACTATTTTAGTGTCAATACCCGACGTTACCGATAAAGCATGAATTCTGAGTATTATTAGCACAAATGAAGTGTTATATATTCCATTCATATTGCGTGTATCTATACGATTTGACGGGAATAAAAATATCCGATGCTTCAGTTTAAGGTTAAGGGATAAATATGACAGTCATGAAACATGAAACGGAAAACTATATATTTTTTCACTTAAGTACAAGACAATTTATTCTAAATGCATCGTTAATGGACATTTTATTAATGTTACTTTTTACATGTTCTTGTTTTATTCGTTTTTATATCTTCCCTTACAGTTTTATATTTGTAACAGATAAATTCAGAATAGATGTAGTTTCATAAATAGTTTATCAAATCTATCTTTTGGCCAGCGGCTTACAATTTCCCTTGCGGGAATGCCTTACCGTAATGAGCCATCCCGTAGCCGCAGGATTCCGGGAATCGGGTGAGACGTTCACGGCCTACGAGCGAGAGCGATAGATCAAGCCGCGGTATCGGTCCTCTCCGTCGGTGTTGACGCGTGCCGAAGAATTTCGGTGGTCTTTGGGGTGAGGTGTGCGAGCGAGAGAGTACGGTAGAACGTGCCGCGCTATCGGTGCTCTCCGTCGGTTCAACGCGCTAAGAACGTTGCGTCACACAGTTTATTCACCTAGCTGTACTATCCGGTGTTTGGGTCGTTCAAGGAGGAAGGTCGTTCAAGCCGGCAAAAACAATTCAACACGAACGAACGTGTCAAAGAAACTAGCTGTTGCGTAATAACCTACGTACGCCCAATACATCACAGCGTTAGCTTCCTCACTTTCTCGTGCGCCGTCGCGGAGGGTGGGCGTGCGTCTCGTACTCGTCATTTCTCTTGTTACTAACCCATTGTTTGTTGCAGGCATTCGACAACCATCAATTTATTTATTGTCATATTATTCATCTAGTTACTGTGCATATTGTTGTGTCCTCTCTCTTGTTACTAATCCCTTGTATATTACAGATGTTCGAGCACCATTGGCTTCGATATTTATCTTTTTATATACTATGATTTATTTACTGTGATTTCTATACTGTGATTTATTTACTGTGCTTATTGTTGTGTCCCCTCTCTTGTTACTAATCCCTTGTATGTTACAGATGTTCGAGAATTATTGACTTTGATATTTATCTTCTTATGTACTGTGATTTATTTACTGTGCATATTATGTATTCTATGTGTATTGTATAATGAAAAATATTTTTCCAAACAGTTATTCCATCGAAAGAAGACATCGATCAACGTCTACATCTTCAAAGCGTGCGTCTACCACTGCGTTAAGTTACTGTAAGTTAAACTTAAATCATAATTCGATATTCATTGTTATATTCATATTCATCATCACATCGTTTATTATTAATTTTAGTCTATCTATTAATAGACTTAAATTGTGATCAGCCATTGTGCATACCAAGTTATTATTAATTCATTTTGCTCGTTGATTTCTCTACACAGACTTGGGGTATGGGCAGTGGGTCTGTACCTATTATGGTACGGGCAGTGGGCCTGTGCACTAAGACTGTTTGCCGATCCCTCTGGTTTCTATTGAGAAGCCAGATATCGGACGTGTTTAGTCTTTGCCTGGTAAGTAGGATTTGGAGTAAAGGCTCGTGCGCGCCTGGGTACAACGTACCCGCCTACGGAGTAGTCGGGAGTCTGCTCCGTAAAAGGACTCTGTTTTACAGGGGATCTCGCTTGCACTACCATACTTGGTCATGACCTGTGCTCGGGTCTGGTACGTAGGTGACCAGCCCAAAGGGCCTGGAAAGTGAGAGATGGATTCGGGTTTGCGAGGTTGCGCCCGTCTTTCCTATTTTCTTAAACCAGGTTCTGGCGACAACACTTTCATCGCGATACTTGTTCATACTGTAGTTTAACGTGGTTCATCGTAGAATTAATTTTTGGCTTGGTATATTAGGTGCGTAAACGAAATGATCGATGGAACTTTTTCCATTCCGTCTATCTCTTTCGTTTGAGTATTAGCGACTACATTGCGTTAAATTTGTTATTTCGTATTACTAGCATTAATTCGTATTAATTAGAATATTAAGATAATATTAGTTCTAAGCTGAAGAACGAAGACAACCGACGAGGGAACTTAGTTTTTTATAGGTTTAGGCTCAAGAAAGAAGTCATCCGCCGAGGGATTTTAGTACCGGTAGTATTATATAGTTAAGATTTAAGTTATTTATAAGGTTTATTGTGAAAGGTGGGTAGATGTAGAACTTGTGATTCCATCTACTTGCCTTGGGCCTCCACTCGCAGCAACCTCCTCGTGGTGAGGCCTGGGCAATCGGTATTGTCATCGGTAAAGTACTGTAAACTGATGACAATATCGAGCTAATGGCTGCGAACTTCGAATCTATCTCATAAAACCACGTTCTATATTACATCGAACTAGGATTATTTTAGAAATCGATATGAGATTCAAAGTGTAAAAATGTCTAGTACTTTGAATGTTTTAGAAAATTATTCGAAATAAAGATGTATGGAACTACTGAAAATTACATTAGATTCCTTTTCCTTATTCTGTAAATTCTTTGATTGGAATGTGAATGCTGCTGGAAGTATGAACATTTTCACAGGAGAATGATATAAATGGAACTTTAAAACTTTTTTAAGTGTTAAAGTGATATTTTGTTATATGTTCCATAATGTCAATAATAATTATTATAAATGTCAATATAACGAGGTATCTTTTATGCGATGTTTGTGATGTAATAACAATCTGTGTTTCGATTACGTTTTTGATACACATTACTCACTTATATCTAATAATATAGAATAAAAATATACTGTTAGTCCGATATTTGAAAATATACATGCGTTCGTTGTCACTGTTAAACTGTTGTAATAACAATAGAATAATAAAATAATTTACTGAAATATACATAATAATACTTATAAATATACATAAAAACAATATTATAAGATATGTCGTTTACATATTTCCACCAGTTTCACTATTTATATGTTTTTTGTATGTACCTACATATTCTTTTTAATTGGATATGACTCCAGAGACATGTAGCAACCTCCACAGTTGGTCTAATTAATTACACGCGTCACGATATGTTCTCATTAAAGCGACCAAAGACCAAAACTCCGGAGTGCTAGTATATTATAATGACTGAACGATAAAACGTTCGTATTATTGTCGCTGTCGATAGTCAATTATGCTCTCCCCGAAATCGTAGCGAAAAATTAAATATGCAACAGCTTCAGACCGAACTCGTGTACTGATTTATTAAATTATATTATCAACAACATAACCAAAAGAAAATAAATAACAATTCGTGATAAACGCGGAAGATATACAAAAACTCGTACGTCATAATGCCATACTAAATGATAAGAATCGTGAGATCATTCTCAGTCCCGCTTTCGCAGCTTCTGGGAGGATTCCTCCATGCTGTTCATCCACAGCTGTAGGTCTTTTGGTATCTCTGGCAGTTTAATGTTCGGATCCAGTTCCGCGAGAAGTTCCGACGCTGGAACCTTAACGCCGACCGTGGTCTGTTTGCTAATGCTTACGGTCCTTACGAAACCGTCGGTCAAAGTGATGAACTGGTGCTCCAGATAGAAATGTTTGTCCTCCCAGTAGATTAGCTGCAAAAGCGAAAGTAAACGTCAACAAATTGTACATCATAACTGACGTAATTAGAAATCAATCGAGTCAGTAATATAGTCGCGATCAGAATTATCAATGCGTACACGACTTGTAATCGATTTCATTAAGAGTGGAATCACACGGAGGTCATTCCGTACCGACACACGTGTACAAGGCAGACGATCGTTGCTCCTTTTACGTAAGTTGGCAAACAAAGTGCAGAGAATATAAATAAATTAATACAATTTTAAGTACAGCATATTTCATTCCATTTTCTTCATTCTTATTCTCTAAATAGCTTATTAATAACTCAGTATTAACATTATTTCACATTTTTCTTGCTACTAATAACTAGACTGCGGAAGTTTAAGCATTTTTTAATACTATTATGTGTTAATGCTGCATTTTAATTTTTCGATATTAGCATCTGAAATTGTGAATTTGCATAAACTTCCGCAGTCCACTTATAATACCGCGTCAGACACGTGGCGACAATTATTTCAAACTGGATTTAATGAATATGAAATATTGTTTTGCTGCTATTAATATTTAACCTTTAAAAAATGTTACATTAGACAAAGGTCTGTCTAGAAGTGCTTTGCAGAAATGAGGTTTAGACCTAGACACTTATTCAAGCCCGCTAATGCCCGACTTGATTTCCGATTTCATGGAATGAAATAATTACTATACAATTACTATACTAATACCATAGACATAGAAATATAGACTAAATAGCTTTCTTTTTAAATGTGAGTAGTGGGGGATGAAGTTCTGGGAATCTGCGATTTGAATGGTTAACTCAGCTATATTAAAAAGAGATAGCAACTCCTCCAAAACTAACCCGTCTCTTTTTAAAGTTGGGACATCGGCATAGCCTGCCACGAAGTCTATATTTCTATCTCTATGATTAATACCAACATAAAATGTAAATATATATGTGTTGTATGTTAAGAGTATAAATACGGTGACCGTCAAACACGATTGCCAAACAATGGACGACTGACGGTTACATTCGTGTGATTTGCTGTGTTATGCAATACCGAACGTGCGTTTACATGTCCAACGTCCGTTCTAGCATAAATAAGTCAGTGAAAAATTAACGGACGTTGCACCTTACGTTAAGAGTGACGCACATTTCCAATACGTGGGTTCTAATACACGACAATGTATTTCTATAAAGGACGTAATGAAGAGTCTCGTGTAATACCCTCGTGGTGATCTTGTACGGCATGAAAAGAGGAAGAGCTTTTCTGTATCGAGTCGTCGATGCGCCCAGCACCATGGTTCCTCCTCTTTTACTCAACGTCTCGTAGACGCCGGTGACGTCAAACCAGTAGAACCGAGCCATGTCCAACTCCCGGAGGTATCGCGCGTTGTTCATGTGCATCAGAACAAGGTCTAAGTCCTGAGTGCTGCATATTCCTGGGAAAAAAAAACAAGGACGTCTCTTGTAACACTTCCGACATGATCCACGAAGTACGGGAAAAGAGTTATTATATGAACAGAATAGAATTTTTATTATTTTTCGATCTCTTTACAATTTTGTTATGTATATATACATGTTATTCCTCATTCTCTTATCCACACTCGCTGAGACTCTTGTATTTGATTTTGCATAAAAAATCCCTCCGTTTAAACTTTCTTAATGACGACATAGCCATCTTACTTCATCGTTCTCTGTTATCCGGACTACGTTAATATGAAACCTATCGACTTTGCGTCTGAATCAATCTTAACTTATTCAATCGATGGGAAATCGCCTTATCGTGTGTTCAATAATTATGAAGCTAAGACACTATAACATCGCAAAATAGCGGGAAAATATTTATATTTAAATCAGAGTTATAAATAACTCAATGTAAAGCTACCGAATTAATTTCTACTCGTTCTTTCCTTCCCTCTCTATAATTCTTTGCACGTGTTCCAATGTCTCCCTTCCATCCTCGTATAAGTCGCATTAGCTTTTACTCATTCTCTGTCCAGTATCTATTCTTCCGCGTTCCCGCATCTTGCTATCAAACTGTGACAATTTTCCTTACCATCTTTACACAAATACACAGCCAGCGTACCTAATCTTATTAATATATAAGAAATATTTCTCGTGAATTGGCCGTTACGAAAGCTATTTATATCCACTTTTATCTAATCGAAGGTAATCTGACATATTCATAACAAGTCCAATGGCTGGATTGTATGCGTTTATAGCGTACTCACCTAAAATTCAGTATATTAAAAAATTCATTAAATTATCAGGCGGTTTACGCGGGACCTGATAGAACCTTCAGTACAGTAAAAACATTCTTGTTTTCCCGTCAGTTTCCACAAACAGATCGCAAAACATTTGCATAAAAATCAGCACTTTATTAATGACAACTCGTAATTGTATGATCATTACCGTGAAGTGGCACAATCTGTATCGGCTACTTTTCAATATCTTGCAAACGAGCAGGAATTTCAATAGAATTTTGTTCAATTTAAGCCTGTTCAGTGATTACATTAGATTTCGAAGGGTATTTTATTCCACGATTAAGTTCGATTTCATTTGAATCGGAATTATGGCGCGCGAATGGAAACGGAAAGACGTGGAAGACTCCCCGCTATCTGATAGTTTAAATTCAGCCTGAGCTTGGTTCAGTGATCCGCTTCGTTTTTAAACGATATTTTCGTGCTGTTTCCGATCAACGTTTCACAGAAGACATTTAGATCGAGGTCACGATATGCACTGATAAACTTCGCTACCGATTTTCATTTAACACGAAATTTCAATGAGGAATTAATGCGTAAAAACGAAGCAAATGTGCACGAGGTGTTCCCCACTGCTTAATAAATTCGGTCTAACCACGTCAATCGAGGAGAAATTTTAGAAAAAAACACTCGACCGTTACCTTGATTCGTATTAAAACATCGCCTCTGCCGGTTTAACGCGTTTCTTTATCACTGACCCCACTGCGTTGACGTCAATATTACCACCTCGAATGTTTACAACGTCCACAACCACGAGACGGCACACGTAACTTTTCCCGCGCTATATTCATATGTTAAACGGTAGCTTTAATCTAGAAACTGATTTTGGCAACAAATAACACTTTCATTAAGCACTATCTCCTTCATATTATCTGTCGTCATAATGACCGATCATCCACGATTGTGTTATTTACAACAAAATAATATCCGACTTTTGACTCTGTAATCGTATGTACCAATGTATTTAAAGATTGGAAATCGTTAATATTAATGGCTCCGAAACGATCGTATTTACAACTAAGTTTACGTAAGTTTCGGAACGAATAAAATCTTGTATATAATAAAAAGCAAAATTACTTCGATTAATCAAACGATTCGATTGTTAAGTATTCGTAACAGCTCTAGCGGAGATATTAAGTTTATAAAATGGATGGACATGAAAAGAAAGAAAGGTGTTTACCGTAAACGGTGGTAGTGTCGAGGATCTTCTTCTTCGGAAATAGTCGGCCGGTGCAGAGTGTGAAAAATATTCTGAGGAAATAGTTCACATCGAACAGCATGTAAAGAACCATCACGACAAACGCCACGCAGGTGCAGACCATCTTTGTGCGGTGGTACCGAAAGACGAGACGAAGACGAAGGAACTGGAGCAGCGCAACTAAGGCAGTTGACGTTCACGTAGCCACAGTCCGCGGAAGACTGCGCGGTACAGTGAAATTCCAAACAGTCAAGTCGCTTCTTACTACACCGAAGACGTAACCGGTTCCTCGTCCATCCAAGTTTCATTTGTATCGTACGACGACGGTGTTTCGTTCGCTCCGTTCAGAGAGTATTCGGCCCGTTCAAAGTACTAGGTCAGTCCGTAAGTCATAAAAATTACTTTTTAGAGCATAATTACGATGAGAATAAATAAGATTCCCGTAAATAAATGCATCACACGTCAGCTACGTGTCCGTTTACTTGTAATTCTTATAATTCAAACCTGTCGTACTCGTGTTCGCTGTAACCACTATGTGCACGCAATACTTTTTGATACTATATTAATTGTTCGTTCGTTTCGAACCGAATGTTTTCGAGAAGCTAGTCGATGTCGTTGTAAATCATAATACAGCGTCATCGTATAAATATTGTTATTTGCGTCGAGAATTAAATAGGTGAATTTGCACGATGGAAATACGAGGTAAATACATGAACGGAACATATGTATAGTGTTGCTCCATACTTTGAAGCGGATCTTTTAAATTTTATAAAGTGGATGCTTTTTCGTAAGTTTACAACGTTAATGCTAAAGGCTACAGTTACATCTCTTGAGAACTGCAATATTTTCATTTAATAATTACCCATGAAAAAAATTTCGAAAATTTAATCTATCTTCAGACGCCCTAGGGTGATGTACGCCCTCAACGGTGCTCCAAGTCTTTACTCGTCAGACTGTTTCTCAATAGTCTAGAATTACGAAGAAACACGTAAAACGATAATGCAGTTTCAGTTCGATTTATAACACGGATCGAAGAATTACAAATTTGTATTGTAATATGTACGAAAACTTGGGACTGACGCGTGAATCCAAGTACAAAGGTCACAGGCATACTTAGGCCGTAAACTTTTCATGAAATATTCAAACAACCATTACGTATGCATGACTACTAACAGGATTGTACCGTCGACTCATTCCTGAAATAAAATTGCAAATGTAGAATTCCGTGTCGCCGAAGGGCTGCCATATTGTAACGCTCGAACCGTATCGAAACGACTAGAAGGCGGGCGGAAGTGACAGTTTAAACAAAAACCACTCGTTAACCATCTAAAGTATATTTTATTTTTTACATCTCTTGGACAGTGGGTATGTCAATGACATGATTATCAACACAATATTATCTGACACAGTGACGGTTATTATTACCTAGAAGTATAACATCTCCACATGCGTACGTGCACAAATGCTAGGAGCTGTCGAGAAGTTGCTAAAATTTGTCAACTACTTAATGACCCAAACTACGATGCGGATTCAATTCGAAATTCGGTAGGGGACACATTACAGATCTTCGTGAAATGGCGCCGGTAAAATGAATTTCAATAGAATTTACAATTCGGTTGCTTGTCGCACGACCGGAACACATTCTACGGGTAAAGAGATGACCGAATCAAAAAAAATGAAAATGTCACACGCCGTAATCGCGAGGAAGGCGATTATCCATCGCGACTTTACGTGAAAGGCACGCACCAGTGCAATGTATTATAGAAATATAAACAGCTCTGTGTCTCGACAAAATTTGTAAAACAGATATATTGTTACATTTCTGCCGTCCCGCAAATACAGCGTAACGCGCGCGATTCGACTTTGGTCCTGTTCGGACACGGTGATCTAGACCATGCGAGTGAATCGTGTAGAAAGCAAAGACCGCTGCCACGCGTATTGTGTAACGTGAACCTCGAGACCGCATAAAATTAATTCGAAACCGTGGGGTTTCAACTGTTACGGAGGAAACAGCGGCGTGGCGGGGGCCCACTCTGACAATTTCGACTATGGAAAGCAGTATGAACGATTTCATTTAATTCCACAATTGTCTATTTTTTTTTAGACATCACGATTTTAACAGCACGGTATCTATTAAGTCGAGTCAGAAATAATTTTTCTTTAGAGGCACTAAAATAATTACTAAATGACAATTAAATAGCAATGGTCATAGGATTAGTTAAAGTGTACATCAATAATTAAGCTTAGAAGTAACGAGGAACGTTCCATAGATTGATATTAATTGTTAAAACGCCTTAAATATACATTAATTTCAAAAAGAACAGCGGAAGTTACTTATGACTCAACCTAATAATACAAACGACTCCATTTAATTCTACAATCTTTTTTTAGACATTATTTTAACGGTCAATACGATACATGTCAGGTGATCAAGAAAGTTCGTGCCGTTTCCAGGCTTAGTCATTGTCAATCTGTACGTGTGCACATTCTGTCAATTAAAAGTGTGGTTAGGTATGCTTTAACAAAAACTTATTTAACAGAGAATTTACTGGTGTACAACATGTATGGAAATTAATAATTTAAAGTTTTAAGAAAGTAATCCCAGTATGACTATGTCGAAGTTAATTATTCGGGCTTATTTACTTTATGAATTCAAAATGGGGGCCAGGGCCCAATTTAACCATCCCCCATATTCCCTAGATATCGTGTCTTCAAAGTACCATCTTTTCTTGGCAACAGACAACCATTTATAAAATCGATGATTCCAAAATCGATAAGACATCGAACGAGAGTTAAAGCACTTTTTTGATACCAGAGAGAAAAACTTTTATACCAACGGAATAGAGAAGATGTTAGATCGTTCGGGAAAAGTATTATTTGATCCAAACCTTGAATCCAATCATTAACGGACTTTCCGTATCATTTATCTCTATTAATTAAACCGGCACGAATTTTCTTGGTTATCTGATAAATCTGTAAAATCAATGGAACCGTCCATACCCTATCGTCTAGTCGTCGTCTAGTTTTTCCGAAAAGAAAATCTGAAATTACGTAATCTAGGGTATCATTTCATGGAATAATACAAGAACACGTAACAGTTGAATTTTTCGTCACGTTGCAATCACCGATTATGCGAACAGGTCGCCGCGGAACTAGAGGTCACGACTCTGAAAAACGTTACGTCTGAACAAGGCCTCTGAAAAATGTCACGTCAGAACAGGGCCTCTGTTATCGAAAGAGTCGTTACCGACGCCAATCTAGTACACAATAAAAAAATGTAAATAACGTCACCGCGAGTCGCGATCATTCGTAACAAAGAATATTCAACAAAAGCGATTCTTCAAGCTTCGAAAGCTCCGTTGCAGCGGGATCACGGCGATCTCGGTGGGAAGCTTCTTTCAGAGTCATTCTGGCGCACCGTTCCATGATCGCCGGCAGACTTTCGTGAACAGTTATCGTAACGGAATCCATCGAATCACCCGAAGACGAACATTCTCTTCGGGCTTGTATTCGGAACGAACGTCCACGGACCGGAAACCACACACCATCGTCTAGCAAAATAGATTCGCTTCTATCTCTCTTTTTTTTGTACTCTCTGTACATGTGTGTATATATATATATATATATATTTTCTTTTTGTTTCCCATCGATCGGAAGGTACTTTCTTCGACACCGTGTATACGTTTACGCGTCCCATTGGTTATCTAACAATCACTGTTTTCGAACACGGACGAACGGGTTGACGATCGGTAATAGCTTTAAGCGTAACAATATCATTCGTGTACCCCCGTTGTCCTGAAGAATTAATTCGAATACTGTGTCTCGTGAATGCGTCCAAGAACCGAGAAATCCATCGATATACACGCGCGCTCGACTTTATACCGTCGTGGTCGCATAGACTGAAGCGGAAACGACGCCGTTCGCGGTGGAAGGCGTGTCCTCCCTTTGTCAGCAGGTGGTCGTGACCGCTGGGGTCTGACGAAGAAGCGCAGACGAGATTTCGTTACTCTCCAGCCACCTGGCGACTTCCGGCGGTATTTCAGGCCTGACGTGCGGTGTCTGCAACGTACCATTCGATATTAATTTATACGAACGTGACGTGAAAGGTTCGATGAACCATCTTTTGTCGACCGTAAGTTGGGGTAAATTTGTCCCAAGTCAAAAATTTATTATTTTCGTAATGATATTTCAGGTAAAAATACCTACAAAGGAGCTGCAAAATCGAAAATGATCATTTTCTAACTTTAGGACAAAATTACCCTCGATTTACAGTATCACGAGAACTTTCTAATCGAAATAAATTGTGTACCTGAATGACGCCTGCCTCGACGTTACCAGTCTGCTTGACACCTCGTTCCATCAGGGACCCAATCACAGCCTCGGCGCTACAGTCCAACAGCCTCTGTCTACAGATCGCGATGGCCCTGATGAAACCGTCGTTAGGAGTGATGAACCGGTGCTCCATGAACACAGACTTCTCGTCCCAGTATATAATCTGGAAGGATCGATATTTTGAGAGAATGGTAAGTATATCTGTTAACAGTTGTTGCTTCGTAAAGTCTGATCAAGATTATGACAGGATTGATAGAGCAAGAAGATGAAGCTAATTCTTGGCTAATCGAAAGCTTGGAACGGTCATTTGACGTTGTTCCAATTATACATACAGAATATTCGATGCACATGCACCGTTTCCTCTGTTGTTAATTCATAATTATTCTCATCTATATTCATGAGATGTTCGATGACTGTTGGTACATTATTAGGTGACTGATTCGAACGTGTTTTATGAAAAGACATTCAAATGTCCAGTGTGTAAGGAATAATTGACTGTTTAACGACAAATCGTCTAATTAACTTTAATTTTCCATTCCGTGTGCACAGCAGTAAAATCGATCGCGAGAAGGATAGAATGCACATCCTCATTGCTGTGCGTCATAAGGTCGTCTCGTACATACGAAACCGTAATGCCTGATCAACGCTATCTATCGCGCTCGGTAATTGATACCGATAACGCTGGAACCGCACAGGAAGGTGATGATTTGCTTCTCAGATTTGCACGGTGAGAGTCAACGATTTCGTTTGCTCGTTCACTTTTATCCTCGCCGAAGGATCGTTCGCGAAACGGCGACGGAAGAGGAGCAGCTTTTATCGCTGTTCCGAGAACTTATCGGAAATAAATGTTGATTGTTCTCGCGAGTAGTGGTGTTACCTAACGACGAAGCAATAAAAATATCTTCAGGTTTCTCAAAACAATGGGTCAGAGTCCAACCGAACGTGACTCGCGGATTAACGATGAGACAAAGTATCAGTATTGCAAGTGGCATGGAATTCTTATTGCATAAAATGTTTCCACATTTATTTTATGGGAACGGAAATCAATAGAAATTTCTTTATTTATGAATCAATTTTTTTTAGAGGCTTTAGATGTGTACAAAATAAAAATATCTTTGAATCCACAGTACAGTCGATAATTTCTTGTATTCTGTATCGATATACATACATGGACTCTACATGGTGTAACAAAAATGTTGGAGGACCCGGAAATGAGAGGTGATTTGAATCCCATCTTTCTTACCACGAATATTAGGCCATTGAAAACGATTCGAACATGATTTTCCAAAACTTAAAGGAAAACGACTTCTCATACGGAGGAATTCACGCGATGAATTATGTAACTTCCATTATTTTCAATAAATTACATTCACTCGAATCATTCTACATTATTATTACTTCTTCGCTATATGCATATTACAAAAACACATCAAAACATCGTGAATGACTCAATTACAATTCACTAGTGTTTCGCCTACCTTGGACGTAATTTTAAAGATGGTCAGAGGCTTGACGAACCGACGATATCGAATCGTCGCGGCCCCCTGCACAACGCCCGATCCCTGGGAGCATATCTCACGATACAGGCTCGTCCTCTCATAAAAGTCCGCCCTGGCGAAATCGAGCTCGCGAAGGTACCTAGCGTTGTTCATGTGATACAGGAGCGTGTCCACGTCGGTGGTCGTGCAGATACCTATGAAAATCAAATATTAGCACGACGATGCTGAACACGGGCGGAATTTATTATCATACTTTTATTCCAAGGACCGCGGGAATTAGACGAGACACACGTTCGCCCAAGGCCGAGCGATATCCACCGCAAAAACAGACTTTGTTCTCCACGGATACAATGCTGTCCTCGCCTCTAATGGTCGGTATCTACCTTCCAGTGAACGACGTGCAATCATCGAGAGATAGAGAGAGAAAAATTGTCTCATAGAGAAATTACGGGGACGCGGATGTTTTTACCGAACGGAATTAAGGGAATTAAGGACGCGTGAATTCAACCGGGAGATCGCGTAACCGCGTCCCGTACGCGTTCCAGACACTTGCACAACTTCGATAGATCGATGGAAAACGCGCCACGGTGGGGAAGAAGCTTCGGAGTAACGCGATCAAATTGAACGAACGCTAGATTGGCTATTCAGGTGTATGTACACCCACGTGCAAACTCTGCTTCTATTAGAGGAAAAAGTAACGTAAGAGAAAGGTCTCCTACTACTTTGTAAATTTATTCCAAGTACGGAAATAAATATTAAATTGAATGTTAATTTGACATAAGTTTCAGCAATTCTCAATATCAAGTGCTAGGACGCTCTTTC